TGACCTAGTTATCTCTTAAAGGTTCCACTTCTCAATACTGTTGGGTTGGAGATTAAGTCTCCAACACATGAACTTTGGGGGACACATTCAAACCATAGCAGTTTTCAAAAAGTACTTGAAGAGAAAACCCTAATAAAATACTCAACTCCTTGATGGCAGTAAAATAGAGACTTAGACTATTGTTGTTTAACATGAATAACTTCTGAAGGCTAGAAATATGGGAATACCTTAATTAGCCATGATTCCCAATACTCTTGCACACCTCTCTCCCTGACCCCTTTCTCTTCCCTTCCTCCTGAGGTCAAGAGAAAGCAAGGATCTACTAACTTAGAGCATGACCTATGCTTTATGGGTATTTAGTAAATATTTATTGAGTAGACCGACCTCTATCAATTAACAGAAAGTTATATGAATACTGAAAAAGAAGTTTTGTTTAAAAGTTTTTTTTAAAAAAAGAAGTTATTTTTTAAAACTACTATTCAATTTCCTTTCTTGTATTTCTCAGTGGGCTCTGATAACCACTGGTTCCTTGGTGTGCAAACAAGTGATGGAATGGAAGGGGTGATGGGAAAAGGTAAGTGTTAAATACATTTAGGAATACTGATGAAATAAAACAAAAAGGGCTGTATTTTTGTTAGTTTTTATAATTATAAGAATTTTCAGCCTTTAATGTGTTGATATATACCACAAGAGTATATAGAGTTGACCCTTGAACAACACTGATTTGAATTGTGTGGGTCTACTTATGTGTGGATGTTTTTCCACCTCTGCCGCCCACAACACAGCAAAACCAAGCCCTGCTCTTCCCTAGCCTGCTCGGCGGGAAGGTGACCTGGATGAGGACCTTTATAATGATCCACTTCCACTTAATGAATAGTAAATATATTTTCTCTTCCTTATGATTTTCTCAATAACATTTTCTTCTCTCAAGCTTACTGCATTGTAAGAATACAGTATGTAATACACTTAACAACAAAGATATGTTAATCTACCGTTTATGTTATCAATAAGCCTTTCAGCCAAAGGTATACTATTAGCACTTGATTTGGGGAGTCAAAATTTATATGCAGACTTTTGACTGAAAGGGGTTTGGTCCCTCTAACCCCTGCATTGTTCAAGGTCAACTATAATATGTAGTGTTTCCATATGTATTGAACTTTGATCATTTTTAGAGAAGTATCTTGCAGGGTAGTGTTTCTTGGGCATACGGTTCCCTGGAACACACTTTGGGAAACACTACTGTAGTGCCACCCTGATTTCTTTTTGGCTGTTAACCCCGTGCTGCTTTTTCTGGCCATCACATAGCTCTCAAACAAGGAGCAGTCTGTACTCATTCTCCTTACAAAGCTTCTTATGCAAGTGTAACTCACAAAACGTTCCCAAACAAACATCTTCCTTTCCTCTGCATCCCAACTTTGACGTTTCAGTTAGAATTACACCTCCAAGAAGTTATCAATCTTAGTCTTCTTGGAGATCTCCTTTACTTTCCAGGGTCTTATCAATTCCCTCAACTTTTAAACCATAACCTATAAAATAGGAAATTGTTATTAATATTTACCTAACATTATTCATCAAAAAATATGTACTAAGTACCTCTTATTTGCAAGGTCCTATGAGGATAAATAGTTATATCACATTGATCTTGCCTTAAGAAACATATAGTTTGAGGCCAGGCATGATGACTCACTCCCGTAATCCTAGCACTTTGGGAGGCCAAAGCAGAAGGATCACGTGAGGCCAGGAGACTTCATCTATACCAAAATAAAAAATTATCCAGCCTAGTGGTGCCCATCTATAATCCTTGCTACTCAAGGAGGCTGAGACAGGAGTATCACTTGAGAGCCCAGGAGTTCAATGTTGCAATTAGCTATGATGATGCCACTGCACACCAGCCTGGGCAACAGAGCAAGACCCAGTCTCAAGAAAAGAAAGAAAGAAAGACATAGTTTGATAATAACTATAACTTGAAATTAATGGGCTTGGTAATAAAATAAACCTGAGTTTCAATCTTAAAGTTCAAATTTTTTTTAATTTTCAAAGAAACCTAATTTTGTGGTCTTGGATAAATTACTGACCCTTTCTAACAGTTACCATAACTGTAAAACTGGGAGAATTATACCTACTTTCCATGCTCATCATGTGGATTAAATACGATGAAATATGCAAAAGTATTTAGCACAATGTAGATACCAGCACCATAAGTAGTAATAGAGACCTCCGTTAGAATCTACATGGCAGTTTCACCCTGAGGTAGGCCTTGTCCTCAACTGCTTCATTGGAAACCTGCCAAAATCACTGAATTTGAGCTTGCACTGGGGAGATGCTTCCACTCTATCCTCCTCCCACCTCCTTGCCTGGCTTGCTAGCAGAGGCAATGGCAAACCAAAGAGGAAGTTGCTGTGGCCAAGTCTGATTAGCTGGTCTCTCCAGTCCTCTAGCCTGGCCCAGCCCTTGTGGTCTGGCCTAGTTCACACAGATATTTTCAACAAATTTTCACAATATTAGTAGGGCATGTTTTGTCATTATCCGCTTTTGACAAATGAATAAATTCAGGCTCAGAAAAAATAAAAGCCTTTGGCCCAAGTTGCCCTGCTAATAATTGGCAAAGCTAAGCCAGCTCTATCGCATGAGGCCAAGAGCCCATAAATAACAAGACACACGGTGGGAGGTTAAGAGGTGACTGCGTTGGTCCAGGCAATGAGTAGGTAGAGCCACTGGCAGAATGGAATGGCGAGGGAAGCACAGATATGAGAGATGGGGGAAAAGTGAAGTTGATGTTGGTGACACCGGAAAGATCTGGGAGTGCTCCAGTATCTGTTACTCCCCAGTCTTTCCCCAACTCCCTCCTCCCTTATTCCTAAAAGAAAAGCACTTTTATGTCTAAGAAACATGCACCCTCATGCACTCAGACACCCGTCTTTGATCCAGTTTTCCGCTGCCAAATAACAGCTTGAGTTATGTTTATTTTTATACAGTCCCTACATTCAAAGAGTTAAAAATCTGGAAGCGAGACCACAAAACGGACATAAAGTCAAAAGTGCCGTCACTCTCAGGTAACTTAGATTCCATTCAATAGTTATGTGACCGTGGGCAAGACCCAGACTTCATCGGCTCACATCTTCGTCATTCGTCACTGATTCATTCCACTATTCAATAAATATTTATCGATTGACTACCATGTGCCAAGTGCTGTGGGAGGCACCAGGGATACCGATGTCCCTGAACCCCAGGAGGTTAGAGTCAGACCTCCAGGCAGCTCCAAATCTATGGCAGATCCCTCTTTCTCATCCCCCATGACCAGTCAGCAACTCCTGTCTATGTTACCCCAAAGCAGAGCTTGAACCCCTTCACCTCTCAGCCCCTCGCCACCGCCAGCCTGGTGCACATGAGCCATACTCCGAGGAAGCCAGGTTTGACTGACTCCACCAGAAGCCTGGTGAGTCAGTCACCTGTTGCTGTCATCCTTCCTCACTTCCTTGCCTGCTAAAGGAGTGAGAATAAGTACTCTCAGCAACAGACATCTTTTGTGTGAAGTCAGCAGGGCCAAAGGCTTAGGAAGAGCAGCCTGCAATGCTCGAACATGACATCTGCATTCCAAAGAGACCACAGATTATTAAAAATCACATTATGCACACAACTGTTTCAAAGGGAGGAGAAGTTAGAAGCTAGAGAGTCTGAGTATTACAATAACAAAGTTACGTTTCCTGCAGGAATTTTAATAATAAAAGTGTTTTTAATAGCTGTAAGTGTTTAGCTGTAAAACCAGTACATCATTTAGTAAATCCAGCCTTTGCTGATTCTAGCTTTCCAGCCACAGAGGAATGGCTGTTCTTTTTCTGTAACTCCCAGCGCTATCGTGCCACAGCATTTTATCATTCTGTGTATGGAAAACAAAACCCAAACCTCTCAAACAAAACAGCAGTGTTGCACATCACCTTCCCGCCATGCAAATCCAGTTTCCCAGCAGATAAGGAAACCTGCCTCAGTTTCCTGATCTGTAAAATGAAGGTAGTATATAAGGTCCACTTATATAAGGCCCGCTTAAATAAGATTGCAGCAATTAATATTTACTACATGCTTGGGGCAGCGTCCGGCACACAGTAGTGCTGTAAAAGTGGCATTAAATAAATTAATAGCTAAATCATATTATATTCAATTTCTGTTATAAAAATACTTGATGTGGGAGAACTATGTCAAAACCAAAGAAAAGGAAAGTGCAGAAGATGAGTCTGTCACAGCAAGCAAGATATTAATATATAAAAGGAAGGGGTGAGACTGAGGTTCCCTCCAGCTACATAGTATGTTCGATCCAATAAGCATATTCTTGAATAATGCGTGTAAGTGCGTATGTACCTACATCTGCACGCACGAAGATGTAACAACTAACTGTCCGACCTAAAAACCAGAGGCTGAATCTGAGACAAAAACAAAAAGTTCATTCATTGTGCCCTACTTCTTTCTATAATGACACTCAAGAGGTTACAAACCTCAAATTGGGTCCAGTCCCAGAATTTGGTCAGTAAATTGAAAACAATAAGAACATAAAATGACTGAGATTCTCCATCTGCAGAACTAAACCACTCAGGAGACAGTTGTAAATGTGCTGTTGACGGGACCAGGGCTTCTCCCCATTTTCTGTCACGGAGAGCAGGATGACTTACAAATTCAATTAAGGACACCAGAGTCTCCCCTAAGTCCAATCAGGGTGACCCCAGGGTGTCTCCCCAGGAAAACACGTTGGAATGTGGTTTATGGTAACCTACTCAGTTGAACTGCAATGAATCTGAGGTAATGCTGTGTTGTCATAGCAGGGGGCGGGGGGGACATGAGAGCCTGGAAGCTGAGAGCCAAGCAGCGAGACTCTCGGGTGTCTCCACCACCACTCAGGGCCCAGGCTCTAGAGCATCAGTCCTGCCAGGTTGAAGCATCTCTTGAAGACAGCCAATAACTGTTGGTAAAGTTCCAAGATCTCCAAGGAAAATCTTCCCCATCAGCCGGTGCCTTCAATGGAGTTCTAAGCAAGAAGGCAGATCTTACAAAAGTGAACGCACTCATTCAGCTCCCCAGCCGGAACCTCACCCACGGTAAATTAGTAAATTGGTCTTGTGGATTTTATTTGGTAAAAGAGCCAATTCTACAGAATCGTTGCAGGAGTTAGCCTCCTGGGCTTAGCCTTTACTGGTTGGAAGACATTGAGCAACTCATTTAGCTCTCTTGGTCTTGGTTCTTCACTGTTAAGTGGATTAGAGCAAATCCTACCTTATGGGTTGTTGGGGAAGACTAAAATAGAAAGATTCAGAAAAAAAAATGCTTTGTATTTTTTGTGTATAATAAATGCTAGCAATTGTTGTTATTGTTTTGGTCTGGTTAAATCTTGACTGATCTTTATCATCACGCTGTTTGAACACCTCTGGGCAAACCACTGAAATCAAATTTTGGCTCTGAAAGCCTAACCAAGAGCCTGAATCTCAAGTGACCCCAAAGTTGTCCCTGCTTTAACACTTCTTTATAAATGTTAGCAGCAATGCTAACATTAAGGTCAGTCATGTATGTACAGGAATAAATAATAACTTTTAAATAAATATACTAGTGTTTGAAATAAAATAATGTTATAGAATTGTCTTTGTTCAGGCTGCTATAACAAAATACCTTAGACTAAATAATTTGTAAACAACAGACATTTATTGCTCACAGTTCTGGAGGCTGGGAAGGCCAAGATGAAGGCACTGACAGATTCAATGTCTGGTGAGGGCTTCTTCTCTGTTTCATAAATGGCACCTTCTAGCTATGTTCTCGCATGGTGGAATGGGCTAGGCAGCTGCCTTCAACCTCTTTTATAAGGATACTAATCCCATCCAGGAGGGCAGGGTTCTCATGAGTTAATAAGTTAACAAAGGACCCCACCTCTTAATACTATCACCTTGGGTATTAGGTTCCAACATACAAATTGTGTGGGTACATCAACATTCAGATCATACCAGCACCATCCACAGCTGCCTCTCAGGGACCCAGCCTCAGTCAATTATTTCCCTATAGTGAAACCATTTAACAGAGAATGTTAGAATCAGTTAGAACCTGACCGGTAAATTATTTTTTTAATTAATTTTTGTTAGCCTTATTCAGGTATAATTGACAAATAGGAATTTTGTATTAATATATTCAAGGTGTACAACTTGATATTTTGATATATGTGCACTTTGTAAAATGATTCCCACAATCAAGCTCATTAACGTACCCATCACCTCCCCTAGTTATCATTTTCTTTCCTCTGTGTGTGTATGTGTTTGCACATGTGTGTATGTGTGTGTGTGTGTGTGTGTGGGTGTGAATGGTGAAAACACTTATGATCTACCCTCTTAGAAAATGTAAGTGTACAACACAGCATTGTTAACTGTAGTCACCGTGCTTACATTAAACTCTCTTTCTGACTCTCTTATTTTACCTTTGAGAGAACTGAGACCAGAGAGAACGGGATTTCTTCTCTTTTCTGATTCTGGTTAGATGCTCACCCTCTCAAATGGAAAGAGAACTGCTGAGTCATCGACTGGCATTCAGAAGCTGCAGTTTTATACCCGCTGCTCTCTGGGTGCCTGGGCCAAGCCATCAGCCCCGCCATTGCCCTCCATTCCTGTTCTTGTAAATAACAATAAGAAATAGCTACGGTAGCTCCACCCCTTTTTATTGCTCCAGGCTGCTGTGAAGATGCGAGGAAATGAAACGCGAGGCGCTTTGCAGCTGCTGGAAAGTCATGCAAACACAGTGGACTGTTTTGTTGTGGACTTCAGAGCAAACTCTCACAAGTGAGTTCTAATAATCCTTAAGAGAAAGGTACTCAAGTGGCTGTCATTAGATTAGTGGTAGAAACAGGGAGAAAGAGAAAAAGTGACAGCTACAACAGGGCCACAGGATGGGTCTAAAATGGCTTTCTAAAGGAACAACAGGGAATTTATTCATTTAGTCTACTTTCCCTACCTTCTCCGCCCCCAACCATTCTTAACACATTCAGGAAAGGAGAGCTGAGACTGAGAACAACAGGTGATAAATCATAAAGCAATAGAATCCGTTGCAAGGAATAGGAAACACATGGCAGGTCCTTCTAATTAACTCTTCAGTATGTCGCTCTGGGTTAGGGTGTTGTTTCCAGTGTTTTACATTTCACTTGTCCCAGGCCACTCTCTCACCATGGCAACTCAATTTTACCAGAAAGTAAAAAAGTCTGCATTTGAGAGGAGTTAAAAGAGTTTGATACAGTTCAGCTAACCACAATTAAGGAGGGGGGAAGTAGGAGGAGGAAGGAGAGGAGGAGGGTGAGGGGAGAAGAGGAGGAGGGGAGGAGGAGGGAGAGCAGGAAGAAGGGGAAGAAGGAAAAAAGGAAGGAGAAGAAGAAGAAACCACCAAATATTTCCCTCCCTGTGAACATCCTCCTCCCCCTCTCTCCACCTCCCTAAAATCTCCTTTTCTATGTATCTATTTCTCACTGACTGAAGAAGTGAGAGAGCAAGGTAACTAAGTCCACACAGTTCTTTGCAAATATCTGGCTCTAAGCACCATGGTGGGGGGAGGGATTGTTCATCAGTCTTGTTCTTTGTTATCCCATGGGCAGGTCAATAAAGCATTTTTAATAAATAAATAAATAAACCTCCTCCCTCCTTTTGGGATGGACTGCGGATTTTAGTAAGCCCCTATTTTGGAGAGAAGAGGTAGTAGGACACAGTGCAGCAGTTCTTAAACCTGAGACTCTGAAGACCAGAGGTCCAGCTCGGCCCTGCCCTACCATTCTGTGTGGGCCTTGAGTTAGTCCCCTACATCACCTTCTGAACCTTATTCACTTCCCCTGAAAACAAGGGCATCAAACAAGGAATTCCTTAAGGCTTCTTCATGGCTCTAACATTCTTCGAGTATCTCACCGATGAGCCCGCAAAGAAATAACCATCCCTTCACGGGTGAATAGACCAGACCCTTTCTGACTGCCAGGACAGGCCAAGCCAGATGAAAAGGCACAGGCGGAGTACCCACTCTGTCTGTGTGTCATGCCCCAATTCCTGTCTATCAAGGTGCGAGGTGAAGCTGGAAACAGGGTCAACTGTCAACGTTGGCTGGCCACTCTGCTAACGTACTTCACATCACGTTTCCATGCCTCTTCATTCTACTCAGCTCTCGTAGACAAAACTATGAACTCTCAAAGCCAAGAAAGTAGGGTGCACAGTCCATCTCCTACCTCTAGGAAAGGCCTCACCTCAAGTACCCAGAGAGATGATTAGGTCCTGCCTCTAACCACCATCAAAAACCATTTGGGGCCGGGTGCTGTGGCTCACGCCTGTAATCCTAGCTCTTGGGAGGCCGAGGGCGGATTGCTCAAGGTCAGGAGTTCAAAACCAGCCTGAGCAAGAGCGAGACCCCGTCTCTACTATAAATAGAAAGAAATTAATTGGCCAACTGATATATATATATAAAAAATTAGCCGGGCATAGTGGCGCATGCCTGTAGTCCCAGCTACTCGGGAGGCTGAGGCAGAAGGATCACTGGAGCCCAGGAGTTTGAGGTTGCTGTGAGCTAGGCTGACGCCACGGCACTCACTCAAAAAAAAAAAAAAAAAAAAAAAAAAAAAACCATTTGGCAACTTCCCCAGGCACTGGTCCATGATACCATCTTCGGAAACTGAGTTAATGACAGGGATTCTCTATGGTGTACATCAGGAAGCTGCACACGTGAGAAAACCTGGGCTTTACCTTTGGCACTCTGAAAACTAAATCTAACTTGCAGATTCAGTTGGGCTTTGGGCTTTTCTCTTGGGCAGTGGTAACTTCTCAGATAGAGCACTGGGACGGGAACTTGAAGATTTCTTTGATTTCAAGCCCCTTCTTGGGCGTCTCTGGCACTGCCATTTGTGTCTGAGCTCTTTGATGAATCAAGGTGAGCAGGTTACATACAGAGGGACACAATGGCTGGGGGGTCAAGGGAGACTCATGCTCTCTTGGGGTAGTGAGTTGAGTAGAGAAGACTTACCCTACACCTGGCTTATGTCCACAAACTCCAAACTTTGGGAAGCACGGATTGCTTTAGACTAGCCAAGTTAATGTTTAAAGAGCTAAATAAATAAATAGGTACTCTTTGGGTCCAAACTGCCAAAAGTAACTCAGACCTTCCTGCCTCCTAAAAGCCCTTCAAAGAGGGCATCAACTGGCAGGTCATTAAGAAAAGTGAAATGTGCTCACTTTGCAAATCTCACCTTTCCCTAAATGTTACTTTGTCCCTAAGGGTTTCCACTGGCTCCATTTGACATTCTCCGTTCCTTTGATAAGAAGTTCTTAGAAGTCCATGGCAACTCAGATCCCCGTAATCCAGAAGCAAATCCATAGGAATTTTAGTAATTAGTTGAAAAACCTTGAACAAGTTGCTTCACGTCTCTGAGTTTGGGTTTTCTCATCTGAAAATGGTGAATAAGCAGTAAGGTCTCCCACTAATCTGTGACTCTGCAAGAGGCAGCCGCGCAGTGTGGAAGGAGAGCAGGCTCTGGAACCACACAGGCCTGGGCTTGGACTCTCACTCCCCACCCAGCGTGGGACTTGGGCAAGTTACTTCACTCCTCGACGCTTACATTTCCATACCTGCACAGGAATGAATGAATGTGACCAATCTACACAAATTCAGACTAAATATATTGCTTCAGGTTTTTTAGTAAATTGTTCAAGCCCATGACATTTCAGCAGAAACCTAATGTCTCTTTTTAAGGTTATCGTGTACATGATTTTTCCAGGATTTACTCAATCCAAAGGCATCCTGTCCTCAACCATGTGGCTCACTGCTTTCACAGGATGCTGCTTGGATGACTCACCCTACAGTCAACAATCAGTGTTTGCTGCTGGAGCCAGGATGGATTTCTCAGTTGGCATTAGCTGGGGGACAACACAGGGGTACGAAATCACAGATCACCCCAGCCATTGCTCCCCAGTCAGATCCCTGGGCAGGGAGCTGGGTGCAAGAATACACATCACACAAAAGCAGCCATTGTCTTGAGTCTAGGCCAGTCTGGCTGGAGGTCAAGGGGTAGGTCCCTCCTTTCAAGAGAGTTTGGGATCAGATCCTTTCACAAACTGACCCCCCATCTCTCTATTGTCCAGGTTTATATACCAAAAGGTTAGAAAACATTTGCTAAGCCATATTTCAGAGAGTATACTCTTATCTCAGGACAATACATCCCTGCTTAAGAGCCTTATGTTTGTGTAACTGGGAATTTTTTCCCCGAACTTCCAAGGCCTAATCTGCTTTCTCCTTCTCCAGCTAAACAAAGGAGGAGTTGAAATACTTTTAAGCACCACTTTCAGTGGGCAGCCCATTTGATCTTTACCTTACCTGGAACCTTAATATGGCCATGAGAATATCACTGCACCCAATAGTACCTGAGGAACACTAGGTGTCTTTCAACTGACAGTGCCTCCCACTCCAATAGGAACCATACCCAATGCAAATGTACACTTGCCTGTAGGGAGAGTGACTCATTGTAAAAATTGTGCAGACCTCACTACCTCTTCAACAGTTGAAAAATCGTACATGTTTGTTTATACCCCAAGTCAAGGGTCAGGCAGTAAATGCGTTATGCTCTGCGGGCCACTTACATCTTTGTCACATATTCTTTTTTGCTTTTATCTACTTTGGTTTTGTTTACAATGCTTTAAAAATGTTTTTAAAAAATTCTTAGCTATAAACTTCAAAATAAACAGGCCTCAGGCTGGATTTGGCCCAGGGGCCATGGGCTGTGGACGCCCCGCCAAGGACTTCACGCATCTGGACGTTAATCAGCCACACCTTGTAATGGTGCGAGGCAACTCATTTTTGAAAACAGATTCCCAGACCCTAACCCAACCCAGTGAATCAGAATCTTGAGATAAATTCTTAAGCTCCCTGGTGATTATGATGGGCCCAGGCTGCTGGCTGCCACAGAGGCTGGTCTAAAAGGCCTGACACAGTGCCCCCTTCCCACCCTCCCCTCTTCCTCCATTCCCCATGGTGATGCTTTTACCTGCTCTAATGTTATTGCTGAGAAACTTCCATCAAGCTATATCCTCCACCTCCCCTTGTATATTCTTATCTGCTTACAAATTAATCACATGTACTTTATTTTTTAATAATTCTTTATAACAGTACTTCACAACTTTATTAATAGCTCTTTTCTTACATGGCTTGCTGAAAGGAGCAGTGTTCCCCCTGTTAAAAGAAAACCTTGTGACACATTAAACTTAGCAGAGTTTATTTGAGCAAAGAACAATTCATGAATCAGGCATCACTTAGAACCAGAAGAGGTTCTAAGGGCTCCACTTGAGCAGCAAGCCACAGAAACAAAGAAATTACTTGATGGGCTATAGCTGGGTGTTGGCCTCATAATCTGGGTTGGGGCGTGGGTCCCTAGTTCACATCAGTGGGCAGTTTCTGATTGGTAAAGCCTCTAGTTAGGGGTTAGTTGGTGGTTTCTACTTGGTAAAATTTAAGTTTTGTTTCACTGTTTACATTGAGCTCCAGTTTGCTTACTCAGGAACCCAAGGCCCTGGAGCCATCTCAGCCTAATCGCCACTCCCACACCTGCTGATTAAATTCTTTCAACACCCCAAAGGACTGCCTTCACCACTGCCCCATCCTGACTGGCACCACAATTCCTCTTCCACCCCATCCTTTAGGTGAAGCGTGCACCAGCCTCTGCCGTAGCCACTTTTGGGTTGAGAGATACAGTGGTTATCAGATCTCGAACCTTGCTTCGGGAGGATGACTATCCTGTTCTTCAGAAGTTGTTCATGGTTGCACGAGTGGGTTTCTGGTTCCTCAGGATCGTGGTGCATAAACAGGCTACTTATCCACAGAGCCAAAGTTAAATTCTTGGAATGCTTTTTAAAAAGTTTTAAGCACAGCATGTAGCAAAAGCAAAGCCAAAAATAAAGGCAACTGGGAATAAAAGCCAAATTTGGGGGGGGGTTACAAAGTCAGCACAGGATTTTGAAAGAAATTGGCAATCAGTCCCGAGATGCAAACTGGATGAAAATGATCTAAGGTCACTCAGGCATAAGCTGTAATCTTAGTGCAGAGGCACACGGGTTGGAGATTTTCATGGAACAGTTGCTCTCAGCTTCTTCGGGGTTTTTCACTGGGTCACAGTATACCAGTCAGCTCCGCGGTTGTGATTTCCAGAATTTTGTCAACATTTTAGAAGTATTAGACAGGAAGCCTTGACCAAAAGGGTTCAAGAGCCAGCTGGATCTCAGTTGCTTCCGGACTCAGACGGAACCAGTGAGAAGCCGAGAGTGTGGGCACGGTGGCGGTGAAAGCTGAAGCCATTCAAGAGAATACATGCAGGTCTGAGGGAACACTCAAGAAAATAAGGACTGGCCCACGGGCCTGGGTCTCCCGGGACCTTCTAGCAGAACTAATAAAATATTCTCATTTCAGTGCTTCCTATGCTCAGCGACTTGTCCAGAGTCACAACACTGAATTACACACACGTCTTCGACGAGGCCAAAAACCTCGAGTCTTCCTTAACTCCTCTACTTCTCTCATTCCTCAGATCAAACCCTTCAATGAATGTTGCCAGCTCCATCTTCCAAAAAGATCCCACATCTAACCACTTCTGTCATCTCAGCCACTGCCACCTGGTCCAAGCCAACGACAGCCTCGGCTCTTGTCACAGCCCCTGCGGTCTCTGCCGGCCCCGCAAGCCAGAGCGCCCCGCCTCACTCGGGACAGAGCCCGGCACACTCTTCCCACGGCTACGGAACCTGTGCGATCCGGCTGCTCCCTCTCTGCTTTCTGACCCCCTCTTTCTGACCCCCTCGTAGCACAGACCACCACGAGGAGTGTGATGCGTGTATTCTCCCGGTTGTATGGCCTTTCTCTCCTGCTAACACCTAAGAGCTGTCCGTCTGTGTGGTGCCCATCTCCTGGGCCTAGAACGGTGCACAGCACCTAGCAAGTGTTCAATAAACACAAGAAGGAAGGGAAGGAGAGACAGAGGGGGTCAGGCAGGCAGGTGGCAAGTAGGCTGGCTGGGTTTGCCTATGGAGTCCTCATTTGCCCCACTGTTCCTCATTAAAAGAAAACCTTTAGACAAATCAAGTTTAACAGAGTTTAATTGAGCAAAGGACAATTTGCAAACCGTGCAACCCCCAGAACCAGAGTCGTTCAGAATGACTCCCAGGCTGCCTCGTGGTCAGATAACACACACAGGCAGAAAGCAGGCGGCAACGTACAGAAAACAGAAGTGAGGCACAGAAACAGCTGGACTGTTTGCTGCCTGGCGCTTGCCTTATCTCAACATGGTATAAACAGTTGTCTGCCTGCGATTGGCTGAAACTGAGCTGCCTGTTACCAGAGTGGCTCACAGCCTGTGGGCACATCCAGGTAGGTTACCGTTTCTTAGGGATGGAGGAACCTGAGGCCAAAAAATACTACACAGGAGCTTCAGGTCAAATTTAATTGCATGCCCTCTACACCTGCCATTTGCCCACCACCCCAAAGGCTGCGACTTATACAAGAGAAATGCAAGGCATTCCCCTGTCCCTAGGAATCTCAGTGAGGAGGGAGAAAATACACGGGAAAGAACTGAGTGAGTAACAGGAACAATCGCTAAGCTGAACAAAATCAAGGGCTAAATACATTTGAACACAGACAAGCGTGATGGGAACCAGAAGAGAAAGAGAATTCCATGGAAACCGGATATGGTTATAAAGGCTCAGTTGTGTATCTGTCTCTGGTCCTACGGAGCACGCCCCTCCAAAAAAAAGTCAAGACACACTGTATCAGGTTCTCTGAATTGGTTCTGCAGAAATTTGCCCGAATCTTTCTGAAATGCATATTACCCATAGCTTCAGGGGTGTCCAATGACCTAACGATCCCTGAGCTCCTTACTCTCATTCTTGCCCGTTTCTTCCACTGACCTATAAATTCAGTCTCCCGTCACCCCTCCCCTCATCTCTGCTGCTACATTGGGGGAGGCGGGGAGCAAAGTCCCTCCTGTGCTTCCCTGCTACCAATGTTCTCGCCTTCTCAGAATTCTCACTCTCGCCCATCCAATCCCAACACTCCTCTTTGTTCTTCTCATGGCCTATTTTTAACCTTTCCTTTCTACCAAGCAGTCTCCACTCCATCTCCTTGCCCTTACTTATTTCGTCTGGATTTTCCAGTATGTGGGTTTGCATGTATAGCTCACCTCATTGCCCCGTTTTTAATAAGTGGGAAGTGTTCCCGCCAAAAGCATTCTGTTACGGGGAAAAGCACATTCCATCGCCTCCCTGCGCCATCCCCTGCGAGCAAAGGAAGCACCTAGTAAATCATTCTTCCACATCCTCCCGTGGCCAGACCCGCGCTGCCGTCCCAGATCCTGCCCCCGCCCTCCCACGCATCGGCCCAGACACTTGCAGAAGGACTGACACTCAGTGCCACTTCGCCAGGGAAAAGGTGACTGGAGATGCCCCAGTGGACTGACAAATGCAAAGGAACGCTCTCCCGGGAGCTGAAATGCTGTGCCCGGTTTGGAGCTGCAGTTGGACGCAGCAGCAGGGAAGCTGGCCTCACCCCAGACGACTGGGGCCACCCTGCTCGGGAGGGGTCCTCCATGTCCACCCCCCTGAGTACCGAGTGGGGGAGGTCCCACATCCATCCTCCACAAACTAAAAATGCCAGTGGGTGCCTCAAGTGCAGAAGGCGCGAAGGCACCCATCGGTGCGGTGCATGGTCAGGCGCGGAAGCACGGAGAGCTCAAGGGTCAAGCATATGAGGTTAAGTTAGGAAATGTCAGAACGCACTGAAGCTTTAGTTTGTCTGGGAGGAATTTCTATGGGAAAAGTAGTGCACTTGTTGGAGAAGCAGCTGGTTTTCATTACAGCCAAAAGGAGTTAAAAAATAAATACAGCCTCCTTTACACCCACCCTAAGATCAGTGCACATTCGACTTTAACAAAATGGACACCCAGACTCAAAAGTCAAATAGTTTGAAGCTTGTACCACCAAGGATTGTTGCTTTTGTTGTTGTTGTTGTTGCTCAGATGGTTTATTCCTTTGGAGGCCACTAACTAAAACAATGACGACTTTCATGTCAAATTCTGGGAAATAAAGGACAGACAATAACGAGAGTTTTTTTTTTTTTCAAATACAAACAAATGAATTAGCACTGAAGGGCTGAAGGGAAGCGAACAAATTAGGCCTGAGGCCGTCACCAGCCTGCCCACCCCCTGAGCAGTGCCAGGAGAGGGTTCAGAAGTGGTCTGGATTCAGGGACAAATATGTAACAAAAGACACGAGCCCACCCAGAAGACATGGGAGCCTGCTGTGAGGATCACAAAGGCTGGTGTGTGGGGCCAAGAACTGCCCTCCTCCCCCAGGTAGGGAGCAGAGGCAAAATAGCCAATGCAGACACCCTGTATCAGTTCCTCCTCTGTCAAGAATGGTTCTGAACACAAGAATAATGTTTGACGTTGTCTCTCCAGACCCTTACGTTGCTAACTACGTTTTCAAATCATTAATTTTCCACACCCATCCTCCATTACTGTATCAGATTGTCTTAGTTGATTAGGGCACTGCCTGGTAGGTTCGGTACCATGTACAGTAAATATTTGTCATTAGAATTTGTTAACTGAGCTAAAGAGGCCCCCAGGCCAGGGATCAGTTCGCCATATGCTTTTTGGTGTCCCACGGAGAAAAAGTCTATTCTTAAACAACCATCTGAACCCCACTCCCAAGCAAGCATCTGAAAAAGTTATGTATGAGTTATTATGAGATGGACCTTCTAGAAAGCAGATGACTTGGCCGAGGTGTGGGTTTGACATAGCATCTCCTGAAAGCTAGCGCGTCTCCAGTAGCCCATTGCACAGATGTGACCACTAACAACCCAAGGTGTTCAAAGATTTCCCTAAACTAAAAAGCAGCAGTAGGATTGTCCATGAAATCTCCTGAGGTCGTTTTAATTAAAAAAAAGTATAGTTGGATTAAGGAAATTAAAGATCTCATTACTCACTAGTCCCCAGCTAGAGCCAACCCTTCGGGTTTCTTCAGCCTCTGCCTTGTGGAATCCCACCGCCTTCTTGTGGGCCTCCTCCCCCGTCCTTACCTCAGGTCACTCAGGAAATCCTGATTTCCAAATACAAACGGAACGACCGAGAGCGAGGACACAAGGCCCTGCTGACTGGGTGGCCCTGGCTGGCCGCCCAGGGAGCCTCGGGGTCCTGCTGCCTGCCTACAGGATGGGCGCGCAGGGTGGAGGCAATGAATGCAAGGAGCTGGGCAGGAGGCGGTGGTGACATGAGCAGATCGTGGACTTAGTGTTAGAAAATGACCTTCCGAGGGTACTGGTAGTGACCTGAGGTCTTTCCATGCCACCTACAAACCACAGCACCTTTCCTCAGGATTTGCCAGAGCTACCGCCATCTTGATGCCTGGGGCAACGTGCAGCTTGGCTTCTCTCTCTGTGGCGAACTCACCCCCTTTCACAATGAGCTTCCTCAGAGACGCTTCCCAGTCCTCTGCTGATCCTAAGCAGCCTGGCCTGCTAACCCCTCTGCTTCTCAAGGGCTGCAGCTGTGCTCCCCGATTAGAAATGCGACTTCGCAGTCTCCCTAAAATCCTTCTCCAGTGCTGTCTGTTCACAGCTGTTCTGCAGCAGCCAAATGCACAGAGGACCCCTCGGGCAAATGAGATGATTTTCATCTGCAAAGACCCCACTTAAGTATAACCTTAAATACACACCTATTGTCTAGAGTACTGGTGTCCGTGCTGTGTCCCCTGAAACCCTGATATTCTGAGGCAACCCTGAAAGTATCTCAGAAGACCAAGGGAAGCCAAGCTGGCAGGGCTCTGGACCTTCCCCCCTTCCTTCCATTCTGGTTTTATCTATTCTCCGTATTCTATTTATCACATATATTTTATCATAATATAATGTATATATGTATAGGTAATCAGAAGATATTGTGAAGAAAAAATTTTCATTGCTAAATAAAAAGCTTGTAAACTGTGACTTAAGCAAAGCCTACCTGTATCCAGACTACATTTGTGAAGCTCTACTAGGCAATTGTAATATGAACAGCCAACCACACAAGAGCTGCTCAGGTTAAAGCAGGGCTGGGGAGCCCAAGAACTCCCACATACCACCACCCTCTTACCCTAGCTCTCTCTTACTCTCTCTTACTCACTCACATGTGCTCTCTCACACTCGTGTGTGAGCAATCTCTCTCTCTCTCTCTCTCTCTCTCTCTCTCTCTCTCTCTGTCTTTCTTGCACACACGCATGCATGAGTGCTACGGTTTGAATGTTTGTCTCCTCCAGAACTCAAGTTGCAATGTAATTGCCACTGGAACAGTATTAAGAGGTGGGACCAGTAAGAGGTGATTAGATATTAGGGCTCTGCCCTGATGAATGGATTAATGCCATTATGGTGAGAATGAGTTCCTTATAAAAGGGTGTGTTTGGTCCTTTCTTTCTTGCCCTCTCTTTGCCCTTCTGCCACACGATGCCCTCCACCACATTGTGATGCAACAAGAAGGTCCTCACCAGGTGCTGGAACCTTGAAATTGGACTTCCCAGTTTCCAGCACTGCGAGCCAGTAAATTTCTATTTATTACAAACTACCCAGTCTATGGCATTCTGTTATAGCAGCACAAATGGACTAAGAATTAATGAAAGGTAGAATAGATTGATGGAATGGATGAACGGAATGGTGATTTCACTCTTGAGGGGGTCTAAAATTTAAATAATTCTGAATTGTTGCTTTGAGCCATCACCAAGAAAGGGAATATTTGAGCAAGGCAGATACTAGGATATGTTGAAGTCAGATTCACTGCACAGTTGCATAGCTGAGCTACAAATTGGGTTCTATGACTGCTTTGTTTTGCTTTACCTATGTGTCCTCATCCCCTGGGAGGCCAAGTGAGATCTTTCCATTTAGGATGGTGATACAAAGTATTTCTAGCAGAGAAGTAACAATGATAGAAATATATCACCAGGTGATCACCAGTTTGTCATCTGAGACTGTTACTTTCAACACCCAAAGAAAACAACTAGTTCCTAACTAAGAAGTTTACTCAGAGCCTTAACATTCAGACCTTATCTCCCATCACCATGTCACCACCATTTATGTTCTTAAGTTATAAAAATGAAGCTTGTCCCATGCTTTGCTCACTTATAGTGACAACAATCTTCTGTCATCCTTCCAAAAAAAAAATATTTTTAATAAAAACTTCAG